GCTGATACATTTACAAAGATGTAACCACCCGTCTCTGGTTTGTTTCAGTGTAATTTGGGAACTGCCAAAAACACAAGACATCTGAGGACCTCACTTGGGACTCTGAGACACTGTGAAGGGTTTTTTTTATCCGTCATCTTAAAGAATACAGGTAATAAAAAACAGGAAACATCACATTTATCAACAATTTAGAAATAAGGACAGCTGACCTCAAAGAGAAATGCTGCTGCATGAGAAGATAAGTATGTCTGGTAATGACGGTGATAATGCACATCAAGACAAAACCCATGCGTGTAATTTTACATAAAGGACAACATGTGCATCGTGCTTTGCTGCCAGACTGTCAGCTACATAAGCAATGATTCACTTGCACTTCATTGAAAATGAATCAGAGAAAAGATTTTCTTAAGTCACAATGTTTTCAGCCCCATGAGCCAAACGATTACTGTACATATTTGCGTTAGAGGAAGGTTTTGACAGAGCACCAGTTGCTGTCCATCAGCTACAGTATGCTACATAGCTTAGCCATGAAAGCTGGGCTGACACTGTGTCAGTTTTATTAACCATGTATGTGAACACTCACACTGCGTATTGAGTTTGAATTTCAATCAGCCTTCCTGCACCTGATATCTGTGCTCACACTGTACAGGTTTATCGACATGTGGGACTCACACTGAGTGTAAGAAACAAGGCTTGGTCCAATTAAGGTTTTAAAGTTGAAAATGGAATGCTGGATTTAAAAGTTATTTTCAGTATCAACACTTTAATTGCATTTATGTTGATAGACACAGAGTAAACCACTCTTTTTTTCTTGTATGTCTGAACCGGTACAGTACGAATTATGGCTAAATTCTTCGGAAGATAAATGAAAGAAATGGTATGTTGATTATTTCTATCTATTTTTTGTTGGTTTTCTCTGCTGTACCAAAAATCTACCGAAACGTAACTTTAAAACCATGAACTCTGTGTGCCAATACACTCCTAGTCTATGTTTTTGAAGTTACACGAGACGGGTTCAGGTAGATTTCTTTAGGTATCAGGTCCAAAACAGCCAAAGAGGCAGAGAGTCAAGATGATGAAACTGAGTGTAGGAATCGCGCATCTGGGGAAACAAATGCATTTTTATCAAACTAGCTTTCACGGTCGATGTTAGATTGCACGGCAGAGAGCTTATTTGATAATCATTGCAAGGAACTGACCCCTTATCATCGGAACAAGTACAATCAATAGTGAAGGTGTTGATTTATGCATTGACGCACACCTTCAAGGATCTTCAAGACCTGGAGGAGCTGTATAAAACTGGGTTAGCGTGAACGTGTGTGATAATTCTGCATGCATCAGTGTCTCTCCCCAGAGATTTCTCTTCATCTAACTCTGCTTTACAGTAAACATGACCATCACTGTTAAACGACACGTCCTCTGGGCTTCAGCTAATGGTTTCTCTTAATGACATGCTCACACATTCATATGCACACCTTTTTAAAGCACTTATGCTCATATGACGCACTTCTTATGCTAATGCGGCACATAAAGTATACGTACATCCTGTCCTCCACTTTAGCGACACATGCAGATTTACAACTTTGAATCCATGCATGTATTATGAACTGTAATCAGCATCCGGACGAAGAGCACACAGTAACACAAGCACTCCTCGTGTGCAAGTTTAAGCAGTGGCGGGATATCCCCCAAACAAACAGGGACAGACGGCATCGCGCACAGAAACAATAATTAGCACTTCTCTGAAACAGAGGGAAAGGAAAACCATCTTTTGTGGGATGTCAGTGGGTCTGACGGCGCCTGAGGAGCGTTCGAGAGATCGCGTCTGCGGCGCTATCATTAGACAGGAGGGGTTTCAAAAAGGCAGCGCACTGATCACGGGTAGGCAAGCTGACAGCACATGAAAAAGGGGTGCTTGTGTATCATTTCAACCCTCCCGCGATTGTTGCTCACCCTAAACTGCTCACACATTATTCCTTCTTCCCCGCTCTCCACACACACACACACACACACACACACACACACACACATATACCAGCAGACTCTGGTAGTCGACATCAAAGTATGATGGAACGAGGCACATCATTAGCAGGAGAAGACAGAGGCGAGGGAGGATGAAATCATTTAGACGCCGCTGTGGAGAGGGAATTACTATGCCTGTCGGGACGAGGGGAGCGCGGATGGAAGGAGAGGGGAAGACAAGAGGAAGGGAAGGCAGGGGGGGGAGGTGAAAGGGAGGCGAGAGAGGGTAATAATGAAAAGGGAATGAAAAGTCAACAAGTAAGATGATGGTAAAAAACGACAAGCACAAAATGCAAACAAGAGGAAGGTAGAGACTCGAGAGAAAAGCCGGATGACAAAACTGCACCGACTTTTAAAAAGGCCGTGGAGTTGAGCTGGGTGGTGGCTATTTCCTGATTCATATTTTCATCTGTGAGGGAATCAGTATTTCTCTTCACAATCATCTCCCATCCTCATTGTTCCTCCCTGCAGTGCTCTCCGGTGTCAGCGGGCCAGGCGGCACTGTTTGACAGGCTGAACACAGTAATTGCCGGGAACCAGAGAGATGAAATGTGAAGCCGTTGTGATGTTTTAAACATGACGCCGTTGTAGGCCGAACTCGCTCAGGTCTGTGCCTGCTTAACAACTGGGAGCCTGTCAGCGCTCCTGACAACATTATCTGACTGTTTGAACTCCGCCGAATAATTGCATCTTTTTCATAACAGAGATCATAAAAGCTTTTCAATCACTGGCTGCTCCAGCTTTTGTATCCGTCTTGAATGAAAAACACTGTCTTTTCGGATAAGGCTGTTGGTAAATTTGCAGTATAAAGAAGCAAATAATCCAGTTTCCTTACAGCTTGCGTCGTGTTTCGGCAACTTTGGCCGTCATTCCTCTCATTAATCATAACAATGTATTAACTGAGCTAATTGCTGAGATGTGGGAACAAAGCAACAAATTCGAATGATCTTACAGGCCTGCCAAACAAAAGGTGAATCATCAAATTAATCTGATCACAGCAGGAGTGGGCGATATGACAGTGATCAGTGCTCTTTTTTTTTTTTGTAGGAAACTGTATTGTTAGATAATCACAACTTGAAATTCAGTAATTTCATTACAGTCATTAATTCCGGTAAAGCTTCATTACTTCAGCACAGGGGGGCGTCCTTGTTAGCTTCTTACCTGCTGCTATGTCAACGTGCCTCAGAGATACCCAACCAAAAGTAGCACTGCCTGTATTTTGTAGATAAGCGTATGTTCAGGAATCCACTGTGTTTCATTCAAAGTTGATATCATTAATATATATATAGTTTTATTACGAGGAAGGGACCTCTGATGGGCTGTTTGCATTCATCATCGCTAAGCTAAAGTTAGAGGACGATCCATAAATACCTCCGTACAGCGTGGGCCGGTTGTGTTTGCTCCTCCTAAACATGTTAAATACATGTGTGGAAACAATGTGCAGATGATGTGTGGGTGTGTTGTTTAAAGGCTCCTGGGCAGACTAATTAATTAACAGATAAGTCGAGTTAGCTTTAATACCTTGACAGCACATGTTAGCAGCTTTCCTTAGTGAGCCCATGAGTTAATCATCCTAACCCTAAACCGTCTATATAAATATGAACATAAATACAAAGTACCACAAATCTTGAAGATTGAGTAACGAACAAACCCGGTCTGTGCACAGGGATGCAAAAACCCTGAACTGGCCTTTAAGATCTTAAAAGATTACGAGTCAGTCTGTGCTTAACAGATTGGAACTCATGTCCCCTGACTCGTCCTTGGTGATTTTATGACTCTATTTGTTCATTTTGTGTTTTATTTTCGATTGTGTTTATTTTTTTTTATGTCATTATATTAAATAGTCAGTGAGCTTTTTAATTGCCCCTAGGGGATAAATAAAGTCATTTGAATTGAACTGAACTGAACCTAATTAGTAAAGTAATATAATCATTTTTGCAAAGTAAAGTGTAATAACTAACTGCCTACATTACACTAATGATGATGTTTGAAGTGCTATTTATAACAAGCAATCTCTATCTTGATCTCAGTCCTGGAATCTAAATTATGATATTAGTGCATGTAACATGATGTGTTTAACAGAGATGACCTGTCTGATAGTCTGCCTGCTGCATTATGGAACTTTGTTGTATGGACTTTGGATGTTGTCTTTATCACAGACAGAAATGATGGCAACAGTCAGTAGACAAAATTTGCCAATAATGATTTCTAAAGAGGTGCCCTTAAAATTAATCAATAGGTGAGAACACAAGCTCCAAAGCCCATTTTTCTTTTAGAATAATAGTCAGGAGCAGGCACAGGGATTCGTTATTAAAAGGATTTATAGCACCCAATATCCATTTGTGGCCTTAAAGAACCATGATAAACACAATAACTTAATATGACAAAGTTCTACAAATCTCTTTACCTCTCTATCTCACAAAACATACTAAAAAAAAAAAAAAACCCACATAAACACATAAACCCTTTGGGCATCAAAGATAACCACTCTCCCTTCTATCCCTCAGAATGTAATTAACCATTATGTGGCCCTCTATAATCTGCCATGTTCATTTTATTTGCCTTTGATACAGCAGGGGCTTATCTTGCTAGTCTTTACACAGAGCACCGCTTACATCCCCCGGCAACGGGAAAACAAAGTCAAAGTTATCAAATCTTGTCAAAAACTAAAAATGAGGATACGTCAAAGTGAGACAGGCAGAAGAGGGTAAGATCAGGCTCAGTTTGTTTGACAGGGCTTCATACTGTAAAAATGGAGGTTAGTCGGCAGAGCCCCCGAGAGGAGCAGCACAACTGATCTGGGATGTGGAGGAAAACTGATGACCTTATTTTTCTGTGTTTGCATCCATGAGCATTTCTGTTTGAGAGCGGAATAGATGGACTGGGACACAGAGTTGAAATCTAATTTCAGGTCATAATGATGCACAGAGAGAGAGAGCGAGATAGAGAGAGAGAGAGAGAGAGAGTGTGTGTTTTACCATCATTGCCCTGGCTTCCCTCTCTCTTCAGCATCTGCACCGCCCCCACATACTTCTTCAACTGGACCTTGAGGACCTCATTCTCCCTGCACAAACAAACAGAAACACAGAAGACTTGAATAAGGCAGCGATAACTACAAGACCGATGTTTTTTAATGTTAAACATCCTTACTGTAATGTATTATAGCCAGGATGAAGACTTGTGCATTCAAAGTATTCATCTAGTGCGTGTGGTTGTTTACAGTACAGATGTGGCCACGGACACATTTCCAAAGCACACATTCTCAGCTAACAACTCCGAGAGCTGCAGCGAGCCACTAACAGGAACTTACTCTGTTTTATGACAGCATGCGGTGGAGGGAGATGGTGTGAATCTCGTTGTGACACCTTGTCACCTGAGGAGCGATGAAAATAAAAACACTTGGAATCTAATCCAGGTGGTCAGGCCCAGATATATTCACAGAGATGCGACTTGATGATCAGGCTGGGATCAAATGCTGAGGATTGTGTCGTCAAAACCAGCTGTTTGTGACATATCGAGCCACACACCTTCAGAAATAATGTGCAAACGCTTAATTAACTTCTGAATGTGAATCCAAGCAGGAGGCAAACAGGCAATAAGGAGCTGGGATAGTAACATATTCATCCATGATATAGACAGATGGGGAGTGAAGACAAAGCAATCAGCCAAAACATTAAAGCCACTGACAGGTGACGTGATTAACATTAATCATTGCTTTACAATGCAGTGTTCTGCTGGGAAACCTCGGGTCCACATGGACGTCACCTTGACACAACTACTACCTCCAACGGCAGCAGCACTCCCCACAGCAGCCTTCCACGAGAGGATATAACTGCCCCTCACCATAAAAACTGCACAGGAAGGACTCGAGGAACATGACAAAGAGCCAAAGGCGTTGGCCTCATTGGCCTCATTTGATTCGGTGACAATTCGAATCCACAGAGCCCCACCCTGAAACCCAAGGTCCCAGTACCAGATACCAGAGGTCCCAACATTAAAAGACCCAACAGGTCAACACTGGCTGATCATTTTAAGTACAACAGATAGACAAAAATATTCCAGCATTCCTTTCCACATACTTTTCAGTAATTTACTTGTGGATAACATTCGGATATTTTTCTGATTTGAGCTGGACGTCTTAATTCCATCTGAAGGAAGTCTTAATGCTCCTGTATGAAGTGATGTTTTAGATAATGCTGTGCTTCCACCTGTGCAACAGTAATCTGAGGATTGTCTTTTTCTGTTTCACTAAGTCTGCACTCCCTTTTGCATGAATTTAACCAAAAATCAACTGTTCAGAGGTATTAACTTATTTAAACTTCTGGTGGATACTTTGCCTTAGTTTTATTTTCAGTCTAATGGTACGTTTCTGGACACACCGTTTCTCAGCACTGGACCCTCAATGTACGGGTTTCTTTTTTCTTGAAACAGAAAACCAATACACAATGGAGTGTTTTTTGCAGCTATATTTTAAACATACAGTATAGTAGCAATCTATAAATACAGCATAACCTGCTGTCGTCTGCCTCCTACACCCTCCTACAACCTTGCAAACACTTCCTGGATGCATCTGACTGAATGAAAGCTTTCACCCGACTCCTGGATTTCAAACCGGACCAACGTGGCGGCTCATTTGGGAACTTTCTCGAATATTGCGAAAACAGTTCACCAAACTTTGTTTCTGCTAACATTTGAGTGAAGAAATAAGCCAAGCAGTTGCTTTATGTGTGTTTAACTTAGATGGACCACAGTTTGAAAGTTGTTTCTGGAGGCAGTGAGTGACGCTGGATGCCCCTAATGTGGATAAAGTAGCCTAAACCTCAACTTTATGCGAATGAGAGGGAACAACATGATGGCAAATTCTTGAAACGCTAGCACCAAGAATGCAACAGCTGCTTACATGGACAGTGAATGGGAAGCACAGAAATGACAGATCCCATGAACACACGCTGCATCTCTGGATGGAGTTACTTCAGATGCAGTGCTACATGTTACACGCCACGCTTTTATTGAACCGCTCCACACTAACCTTTGAGTCATCTTTTAAATCCTGTCTACTTGCATGCATGGCACAGAAATTCCTGTTCCTGAGGAAATCAGATTTCAATAATATCTGATGGAAACCACTTTTCTTGTTTGTATGACCTTTAAAGAAAATCAGTTCCCTGGATAAAGCCGACTGTTAACTGTAAGCACATGTAAACACGCCGCCTGACTGGCCCATGTAGAGCCTTGACCCCAACCCCATCGAACACCTGCAGAACACCAACTGTGAGCCAGGTCTGACATCAATACCAGACAAAATCTTGTGAAAAGCCTTTCCATTAGAGTCAAGCTTGGTATAGCAGCAGAATACTGCCTGCGGTTTTGGAATGAGGTGCTCAGAAGTGGGTGTAATGTTCAGGCGTCCACAGACCATACTTAAAATTTCAGTCACTAGACTTCCATCAGAGGAAATGTTTGGCAAATGATAAGCCAGAAGGACATGAAAAGGAGTCCACAGGTGCTTTGTCATTCAAGTATTTAAATGAGTTGTAGTTGTTAGTTTGTAGAAGCTCTACAAGTACAACAGCATCACAAAGAGTGAGGATGTGTCAATACAGATAGGAGCTAGGAAATTAAATTAGCAATGTAAATTCATATCAGAAGGGATAAAGGGGGAAGAAATGTTGCAGGAACATCTGGAAAGCTGTGATGAAGCACAGCACTAAAAAACTTCAAACACATCAATAAACTCCATTAACGTTCACACCAAAGTCCGCAGGCTGTGAGGAGCTTTATGTGTGCACAGCATGCAGGGAGGTTGTGTATGACAAAAGTCTGAGTATTCAGACAGGCAGCAGGTGGATTTGGACATGTGTTTTGTAAGCGAAACCAAAACTGGATTTCAGTGTACTCTAATAGCACTTGTAAGTGTAAATGTGAGTGCTGGACTGTGGCTGAGGACGCAGACACAAAGACACGGTGATAAAGAAACAAGGTGAGAGACAGAGGCAGTCTCTTTACAAGGCGTAACCCGCCGAACATCATCGACTTTGGGTAGGAAATCAATCAGAGTTGGAGTGTGGCTTTATGCCCTTGGCAGTTAAATTTAACAGTCTTTGTCTTGCTCGCACCCCCCCACCACCCCCATCCAACCCCTCATTCTCCATGGGTGATTTTTTGGTGCCCTGCTTATCAGCCCTCATTCACCACCAACAATAGAGGCGCCTGCCGGGAGACCTCCTGAATCCACACGATGAGCTCTCAGCGGAGCCGTCCACGTCGTTATCAGAACTACCCGAAGCCCAGACTCTTTTTCAGCCTGATTAAATTATAGCTAATACATGCCGCTTGTTCCAAAGTGTGTGTGTGTTTGTGTGTGTGTGTGAGCTGGGCGAGATACGCGGATATTCAGAAGCATCTCATTTAACTGAGAATGAGTCTTGTGTCTGCTGTTATGCCAGCAGGTAGATTACAGCATTTGACAAAATGTGAGTGAACTGGCCTTGATATCTGAAGCTCAGGTTAAGATATTCTTTTAGCAAATCTAAAGCTTTTACTTATTTATACCTCAGACACTTCAGCTCTTTTGTGCTGCGCGTCTCACATTGTTCAGTCTCTTTTCACTCTCGTAAGTACTTTGCATCTTTACAAACGCGAAAAATCCATCTCCAACTGTATACAACCATGCGCCCACACACAGTGCCTAGGGATATCTGTCAACCTTTAAAAGATTACCAATAGTTTTACATTATTTGCAATCAATAATCAACAATTTTATATAAAGCACAGTAGATATGATTATTTTGGGAGGTGGGAACATGTGGTTTCAATTGACAGGAAAATATTTCTACACGCAAAAGTCTACATTTGAATGAAAAACAATGTATCGACATTAAAGAGTAAACTATGATTTATATCACTTGACAGACTGTGCATGAACTATAACAAGGCCTGATGTGTACTGACAACCCCTCAGCTCTGTATGTGGCAGAGTGCAAAACAATCAACTGAAAGCAGCAGAAAATAAAAAACTGTCTGGAAGTGAACTCTGCTGTGTATCAGTGTCAGATATAGAACTGCTGGTATTTGGCTTCCACAAGAAGAGAAGCCAATATTAAGATGCATACACCAGTTTTTTAATAGTTGTAATACAAAGGAATTAATTCACAATCAAAATATAAATACACATTAATGATGTTTTAGCTGTGAATGATTAAACCAACTTTCATTACTGAGGCATGGAGTAATTTGAGTTTCAACAGTTTGCCAGCAGATCTCATGTACGCTTACATCTGGTTGAAGCATTTGGTAAAAATCAACATGTATGTTGTTAATGAAACAAAATGAGGTCTGTCAGTTTCTGACTAGTCTGGCCCACTGGATGGAGGATGCGGGTATAAGCCTACCATCAGCCGCTTATTTCAAGTGCCATTGTCCTTCCCTTCTGCTATCTGTGTGTTACCACTTTCTTCACTTCATTAATAAAACACCAAAAACCTCCAAGCAGCAACCTACTAACAAAAAATGTAACATTTTGTCAAGGATCTTTATCATGCAGTAAGGGAGTCCTGCTAGTTTTTGGGGGTTGTTCAGAAGCTTATCCATTTTATTCACAGTGCTCTCCTCCCTGCATGCAAAAGTTTTACCAAAACAATTCCAACAGTCACTAATTTGAAAGAACACCAGAACTGCATTCTTCGCTGAGTCCTGCCCACAATTACTGTGATTGGTTTAAAGAAATACAAACCAGCCAGAGTATTGTTTCCCCCCCTGTAGCAGAATGATGGTGTGGTGCAGCCAGAACATTATGTTCTACAGAATGGGCTGGCAAGGCCAGACTGGTTTCTGACCCATTTCTCTCCCTACCTACTATCCATCTCTCCATGCCATCTGCCCAGTCTGACTGACAAAACAGGGGGTTGATCTGCAGGACAGCTTTTGTGGAAACCCACCAACAGTACAAAGGGAAACCCTGTAAACCATTCAGTACTCCTAAGTTGCTACATGTTATATACTCCACAGCTGCCATTATTCTAGATTTATTAGATCTAATGGTATGAATGGCAGCATACAAGACAA